ATTAGTAACCAAAAATTAAATTTATTTAATAATCAGTTCTCAAATAAAAAAATGAGTTGTATATAAACATTTGCATATTTGCAACTGCATATAAGGTGGCTTTATATCAACCTTTTATTGATTTAATTGTGTTGCTGAAATTTAAACATTTAAATGGTGGCTGCACTCTAAAAAAAATGCTGGGTTGTTTCAACCCAAATTTGGGTCAAATATGGACAAAACCCCAAATGTTGGGTTAAAAATTAATTTAAAATTTTAACCCAATGTTGTTTCAATCCAAATTTGGGGAAAATATGGACAAAAACCCAAATGTTTGGGTTAAAAAAGTAAAAAGTGAAAGTTGAAGTTGGGTTATTTTTAAATTCAATTTTTAACCCAACATTTGGGTTTTTTGTCCATATTAAAAATGTAAAAAAAAAAATCAAAATTTAATTAAAAAATTAAAAAGTTGAATGTGAAAGTAGAAGTTGGGTTAAAATTTTAAATTCAATTTTTAACCCAGCATTTGGGTTTTTGTCCATATTTGACCCAAATGGGTTGAAACAACCCAGCATTGTTTAGAGTGTGTAATAAAAACTTGTTTTCGTGACAGATTTGTTTATGAAATAATAAAGATAGTAGAAACGTCAGTACTATTACAAAGACAAAGAGTGCTGAATATAATTCAGTATTAGGGCTAGTGTGTACTAATTCACAGTCAGTTCTAGTGCTAGTTTGAGTACTAGTTCAAAGTCAGTATTGCAAATGCGACAGTTCAAAACGAATTTTGTAGACATAATAATTCAGGTCATTTCTAGTGCTAGTATGAGTAGTACTAGTTTGAAGTCAGGACTAGCATGAATGAGCACTAGCATTAGTGCGGAGCAGATCTAGGGCTAGATTGCAACGTGTAAGTCCAGTAGGGAGTACTTGTTTAAAGGCTTACTATTAGTGCTAAAAGGAGTATTTATTTAAAAATGTTCATAGATAGTACTTAATTTGCTATGAAAAATCAATACTCAAAAATGAATACATTTTAGGTGCTAATATGGACATTTTAGGTGCTCATATGTACATTTTAGGTGCTAATATGGACATTTAGGTGCTCAAATACATTTTAGGTGCTAATATGGACATTTAGGTGCTCACATACATTTTAGGTGCTAATATGGACATTTAGGTGCTCATATGTACATTTTAGGTGCTAATATGGATATTTAGGTGGTAATATGTGCATTTTAGGTGCTAATATGGAAATTTTAGGTGATATTACAACCCGATCTCACGACCAAGTCGTACGAATTCGACGAATGATTAAAAGTGGCTAATTCGTAACAATTCATACGACCTCACTCGTACGAATTAATACGATTTTGCTAAATCGTACATATTTTACGAATTGGCCAATTCGTATGAATTCGTACGAATGACCTACCCCTTACCCCGCCCCTAAACCTAACCGTCACGTGGGTTTAGACAAATCGTACGAATTAGTACGAGTGAGGTCGTACGAATTAGTACGAATTAGCCACTTTTTAATCATGCGTCGAATTCGTACGAATTGGTCGTGAGATAGTGTTGGATATTATGTACATTTTAGGTGCTAATATGTACATTTTAGGTGCAAATATGTACCATTAAGGTAGCAATATGCACCCTTTAGGTACAAAAGTGTACTATTTGAAAAAGGTACCGCCACAGTGACAGCTTTTGTACCTTTTTTTTCAAAAGACAGTACTAATGCTAGTTTGAGTTTTACAGTAGTTCAGATCAGTAATGGTACAGTGTGTTTACCTAGTATGAGCTCAAGTTCCTTATCAGCATTATTACTACACTGGTTTGAAGTTTCATTTAAATTTCAAGTCTGTTCTGAAAATATTCTGAGTAGTTCAAAGTTTTGCTTGTCACATGGATATGGTACAATTATAGTATCTGTTTCACAAGTTGGGCCAAGATTATGCCCAAGGAGAGCATGCCTATAGTGCTCAGGTGCTCTGTTCAGTTGACATTTCTCACAGATGTTAAAACTAGTCCACACACCCCATCACTTCTTTCAACTAGATTCCAACTGGAGTGTGTAATCACAAGCGTTACCTCAATATAGCCATTCCTCTGCATGAGGCATCACGGCTCAGACGCCCTGACCGACTGTGTGCTAAATACCTCGCTGAAGTATTCCAGCTTCATTTAAGCACATTGATTTTCTTTAGCACTTGTTTTCTTTCTTCATGGCCCAGTTGTATTTGTGCTTTTGAATACTGTCCCTCGGAGGGAGGCTTGTTTATGTGATGTGGGATGGATTTGATTGTTTTCGGGCCCCCGGGGACAGGAGGACTTGGATGAGATCTGTAGAGCTGGCTCGGCCATCCACAGCTTTTGCTCTGGATCGGTTTTTAAGGCGTAATCCTTCATTTCAGCGACACCACTTTACTTTTAATAAATTCAGGGATGGAGCTTTGATAACGTTTTCACACACTGCCATGAAAGACCCGCTGTGTTTCACATCGAGAAAATGGTTGTAAACATATTTTAAGCGTCTGATGACAGGACATTTCTAAAAAGAAGGTGAGCCTTTGTGCGCAGAAAATTGCTTGGACAGAGTAATCAAGGAACAGAGGTCTCACAGGCATGGTATGTTAATGGAATTGAGGATTTTGTAGAATTTAAGGATAATCTAAATCCTGGCAATGTATTCTGTGCATATCCATGTTCATTTTCGTTTAAGTATCACTCTGTTGAATTACTTGTAACATTTCTTCAGGGAAATAAAAATAGAAACCAAAAATGATTCAGTTGTTGACTCATACAAATGAATTTGTGTATCTGATTCTGAACTCATTTAGCTCTGGAAGAATATGACGAGAAATGTTGATATTGACCTTGATATCCTGGCAAATCTGAGCTTGAGTTTGAGATCTTTTCTGATTCCCTAGATGTACAAGAGGAGATAACTATGGTACTTCTTTCAGAAGAAACATCTGAGAAGCTGGAGTAATTGCTATCTTGGAGAAACAACTGAGATATTACTGGGATGTCAATTGTCATTTTTCTTTCCTGGTATGCAGGCGAGACGCTTTCTGACGCTCTCCATCGTCTTTGACCCGTTTTGTTCCCCTCACCTTCTGAGCGCTGGTTGATCTGCGTCTGAAGCTCAGGAACAGCAGGGGTTTATGGAATTTCACATGGATCTTCAGAGCAAACAAGAGAACTGAAAGCGGGAGCCTCAGTGCATACACATGTCTGATGCAGCCCTCTTTGAGTTGTTTGATGGTTTCGGGTTTACAATGTGACTATAATGAAGTGTGCAGTGAATCAAGGCCTGCAGGCTGCTTACTGAAACATGCATGACTTTGCCATAATCTCAAATCCACTTTCATACACAAATCCATATTTTATATTGAATATAAAAGGTTGGTGTGTTTTTTTATGTCTGGTGGATCTCAAAGGGTTGTAGTAACAAAGATCGTTTATAAAAAATCCATTACAAGACATTACAGGCCTACATGGTGTCGTTTTCCAAATTTAATCATCTCAATTGTCAAGAATATAGAAATTCCACATTGGTTTCAACGTTTAAGCAATTTATCAGCTTTTTTGAAGAACCAGTATCACCTTTGGCTTTTCTGCATTTTAAATGGTTGTGTAAATTAGAGCCCGACCGATAAAGGATTTTGAAGGCAGATACCGATACAAATATTTGTTGGTTTTAAAATCCGATATATCGGCCGATATTTTTTTTCTTCAGAAACGCGCAACAAAACATTAACAGATTTCCCTAACATTAGTTATTTGTAGTTATGGATGAGTTTTAACTAAAATAATATGATAATGCATTTTAAAAAGAAAATTGTTTCTTTTATTGTCGCAACAGAACAGAGGAACCAAAGCTCATTAATGTTAACGTTAGTGGTCTTCCACTGATGATAGTGGCATTAGCTAGCTTTGTGGTTAAAGTCCCCGTGAAATCAAAATTGAACCTATTTACTTTGTTAGCGCATATTACTAGTCTTGTGGTAAACAATTAATCCGTGCAAGTGAATATATATTAAAAAAATGTTTTACCTTAGTAATCTTTAATCAAAATCTGAAAAGTTACTTCCGGTCTGGAACGGTTTCTTTTTCTGATGACGTAGGCTTCACAAATTGGGTGGGGAAACGCTTAACCACTCCCCTCAAACCGTTAGTTTGCTATGAGCGAGAGATGGAGAGGAGGAGCGCTAGAGTAAAACCCTGCCCTCTGTTCAATATTCCGTTTCACTTGGAAATACGTCACTGCACTGGAGAAAAATCGTTTGCAACTTCCGGTTCACGGGGACTTTAACAGGGGCTGTGTAAAGTGCCCTCTGGTGGACAAATTATACAACTCAAACACTCAAGACATGGTTCAAGCGTATTTCGTCCATTTTTATTTTATTTTTGAAATATTCATTTATTGGCCATTATAACTGCTGATACCGATAGTTTGGAAAATGCCTAATATCGGTCGATATATCGGTCTGGCTCTAGTGTAAATGATCAAATTTGTCCTACATTTTCTGATTGTTTAGCCCCACATTAGTACTATTATTTATGATGTTGTACACTACATGGCAACAAATGCCACTGCAGCACTTTACTAAACACCTGTTTTAATGCAGCAGTTTATTGTGTATAAATTTCAATTGATTTGTGTTTTGGTTTTTGATTGGTTTTTATTGATTTACTTTATTTTACAGTCATATTCCCTGTGTACATACAGTACTATGTATTTATTATAGCAATAACTGGGTCATAACCCTGAACCTACACCTAAACCTAACTCTAACCCCTGTAGTTATTATATTGCCAGTACTTTCTTGATATTTTGAAGAATGTTTGTAACCAGACAGTTGATGGACCCCATTGAACTCCATGGTATTTTCTTCCATACTATAGATGTCAATGGGGTCCATCAACCGTTTGGTTACAAACATTTTTCCAAATATCTTCCTTTGTGTTAGGAAGTGGTGCTTAAAAAAACTTCTGTGTTTGTATGTTTGTAGCCCGGATAGTGAAAAGCAAGCAGTGGTGTGAGATGTCCCCATGTTCAGAGGGCGAGATCTGCGGACTGATCTTCAATCGCTCCGGATGGACCTGCACCAAGGGCGGTGGCCGCATTAAAACCGTCACGGTGAGACACGTTCTAAATATCTGTAACATTTCATTTATTCACTTAGTTGAAGCAATGTTGCATCATTCACACCACCTGCGTTTCAGCTCATTAGATAACACGTTCTAATGACTTTCATTAACCGACATTATTTCTTTATATAATGCTCAAGAGATCCTAAGTTAATTTGCATTCAGATAGATTAGAAACATCATTAGACATCTTACATATTCATAATATATGTTCATATTTAATGTATTGTAGTTCAGCTACTGATCTGTTAAGCAGTAAATAATGTTTGCTCGTTACGTATAAGTTATTTCGTTAGGGTTAATGTAGAGTCAGCCTATCATTATTGCAAAATAAACACTGACGGAGTGATCTGGAGCACAAGGTGATGTGTAGGGGTGTTGTGTGACCCTGGACAGGTTTATTTTGTGATAATTACCACAAGACTCTACGATATTTCATGTAAACATACACTTAAGTTGGAATTATTTTATTATGTGAGAAGAAAGACACCTCAGTGATATGAGTGACTACTGGGACAACAGTCAATTATAGTTTAATGGTTCTTATGTTCAAATATTTGATAACAGAATGCGCCGATTGACCAATTAGAATAAAGTATTTGAGTTTGCAGTGTAATTAAAAGTACTTCACTGAATGTAAAGCATTTTCGCCATTGCTCAGATATTTTACTTTTAGTACCGTATTATAGAATGACTTTTATTTACACTTTGTTTGAATAGTATCAATAACTATTTGCATTTACTGTAAACAAGATGCTGTTCTTCTATTCACCTGCAAACATTATTTACCACCCTTTACTATATGTAGTAGTGGTAAAAAGTGATGTCTGGAGGGGACATTTGTTTTTTATGACCCTACAAGTTCGATTAAACCATCAAAATGTGAGGTAAACTACAGCTTTTACTATCGTTTTTACTGGTTTTATTTTACTATACAAAAAACAGAATGCATAGAAAAACAAAAAGCTCACAGGATTGACTACAACATAATCAATTATTAATATTTTATTGGTTCTCTCGTGTTTTTGCATGTGTTCATCCTTTATTTGTACGGCAGCCTGGCCAAAATGTTTGCACAATTTGGCATATTTTATTGCGTTATCACAAATAAAGCAATTGACTCCAAGTACAACTACTGTACGCAATATGCCTACAACATTTAAACAAATTTGTGATATTTAAATAAAGGGTGAAGATCATTTGGTCAGTTTTGGCCACTACTGTATATCATTCAAAAGTTAGTCGCTGTAAGATTAATACTTTTATTCAGCAAGGGCGCATTAAATTGATCAAACGCATTTAGACTGTAAAGACATTTGTGATGTTATAAAAGATTTCCATATCACATAAATGCTGTTTGAACTTTTTAATCATTAGTGAATCCTGAAAAGAATGGATCATGGTTTCCACAAAATATATTAAAGAAATGTTTCTTGAGCATCAACAACATCTTCAGCATATTAGAATGATTTCTGAAGGATCATGTGACACTGACAGGAATAATGATGCTGAAAATTCAGCTTTGATCACAGGAATAAATTACATTATAAAAAGTACTGTATCAAAAATATTTCACAATATTACTGTTTTTAATGTGTTTTTAATCAAATAAATACAGACTTGGTAAGCAGAAGAGATTTATTTCAAAAACCATCACATCTTACCTTGTGGTATGTCTGTCCCTTGGACATACCTGTACACTGTAGCATTTGTGTCTATTTCTTAACGACAACAAGAGCAGCAAAAACAATTTTATTTTGCAATAAGTTTGCCTATATCAGTTGAGCAAATTGTCACACTTTTATTGTGTGCATTTGGCGTGAATTGAGAATTCAAATTGGGGTGCAGTCTCAGGAAAGTTTTTAAAAATTCACCTACTTGTGAGAGTGGCTGGACAGGAGATGGATTGGGCTCTGTGGTGTGATCCGTTGTTTGTAATGTGTTGTGTACATCACAGGCATAAGTGCTGAGCTCAGGGGGTGTTTGGGCTGTGCTGACCCTGCAGGCTCCTGCCCCATAATGTCTTGAGTCATTCGTTTTTTTGAGAAGCTTTGCACAAAATGACAAGGAGCAATTATGCTGAATTAGAGGGTGTTTTCGTAAAAGAAAAAGGCATATAGTGGGAAGTGAGGCTGCATATGAAACAACCTTGGTGAAGCTCGGGTTAGAGGGGTTGCGCCATTCGGCCAGAATAGCTGAAATCATTAATGTGTTACTGTGTGAGTATTCATGGGCTGCATATTTACGGCTTTATTTGCAAAGATTGCTTGTGTGCCTGTGCTTTTTGTGCGTTTGCATGTTCATTTAAAATAAACATGAAATCAGAATTGACCTTGTTTACTTTTTGATGCATGTTCTTGATCTTATTGTGTGTAATTAGAGCAGGTTATTCCAAAAAAAGTTAAAATATAGTAACTTGCGCAACCCTTTTAACACCCACTTTTCACAATCCAATGAATTCCTGATTCATTAAATCAAGTCCTTTCCCATATTTTTTATTTCTGTAGAATATCTTGTTTAACTTGGAAGTTTGACAAGTTTTAGTTGATTTTAAGATTATCTTATTTTTTATCTGGTAATTCAATTGTTTCTATCTCTCTCTTTTTCCTACTATTTCTCTGGCAACTTCCAAATAGCATTTTTGTCCATTTGAAGGCCACTGCGGAAGGGAGACACTCTAAGTGGGCTCTTCTACAGGGCCGTTAGAGAAGTGCACATGCAAAGGATGTAGTTTAGTCATTTATGATCACGTGATAATGGCGCAATTCATTTTAAAACCTGAGCTAATTTAATATATTACCTCCTTTTTAAACTATCCACATGCACTTAGGGTGGCCACGAGAGCTCAGTGTGATGCAACTGAAGAGAACACATGTAAATAGAAAAAGCACCAGCAAATTAAGGAAAACTTATTTTCAGAAATCAAATTAAGAAAGTAAAATTAAGAAAACATCAGTTTTACAACAAAGGTGCTGCAAATACTCAATGCAACCAAATACTTACAATGAACATATGTTCGGGGTGTTAAAATAATAAAATAAAAAACATCTTTCTGGTCATCGCACACGCCACTGATGAGTAGACACTGAAGAATAAGCATGCATCAGCCAGGTTTGTCACTTGTTGGGGTCCACTTGAAACATTTCTCTCCTATTTGCAGCACGGTTCTATATTTGGTTGTGTTGTGAGTATTTTGCTTCGTGTTTCTGTATTTGGTTGTGTTGTGAGTGTTTGCAGTGTGCTTTTGTATTTGGTTGCGATGTGAGTATTAGCAGCACAATTCTGTTTTTGGTTGTGAGTATTTTGCAGCGTGTTTCTGTATTTGGTTGTGCTGTGAGTGTTTGCAGTGTGCTTTTGTATTTGGTTGTGATGTGAGTATTTGCAGCACATTTGTGTTTTTGGTTGTGAGATTTTGCAGCGTGTTTCTTTGGTTCCGTTTTGAGTATTTTGCTGCGTGTTTCTGTATTTGGTTGTGAGTATTATGCAGCGTGTTTCTGTATTTTTTTTTTTGCTACGTGTTTCTGTATTTGGTTCCGTTTTGAGTATTTTGCTGCGTGTTTCTGTATTTGGTTGTGAGTATTATGCAGGGTGTTTCTGTATTTGGTTGTGTTGTGAGTATTTTACTGCGTGTTTCTGTATTTGGTTGTGAGTATTTTGCAGCGTGTTTCTGTAATTGGTTGTGTTGAGTATTTGAAGCGTGTTTCTGTATTTGGTTGTGTTGTGAGTATTTTGCAGCTTGTTTCTGTATTTGGTTGTTAGGGGTGCACGATTCAGAAAATGTCACGATTCGATTCGATACCGATTTTTCGTCTCGAGATTCGATTCAAAATCGATTTTCGATTCAAAAACGATTCTCGATTCAAAAAACGATTCGCAGGTCTACATAAATGTAGTTTACTTTTTCCTATGTGATTGATTGCAGTAGACGTAATTTAAAAGAAAAGTTTGATATTACTTTATATGTCTTCATACAAAAATAAAAACTTTTGCAACTAAAAAGTGCGAAGTGCCAAGCTTTGGCCAGCTTTTAAATACATTTAATTCAAGTTTAAAATAAAACTGGTAACACTTTACAATAAGGTTCATTATTTAACATTAGTTAATGTATTTACTAACATGCACTAACCATGAGCAATACATTTGTTACTGCATTTGTTCATCTTTGTTAATGTTAGTTCATGAAAATACAGCTGTTCATTGTTTGTTCATGTTAGTTCAGGGTGCATTAACTAATGTTAACAAGATTTTAATCAAGTATTAGTAAATGTTGAAAATAACATTAACAAAGATTAACAAATGCTGTATATGTGCTATTCATTATTAGTTCATATTAACTAATGTAGTTAACTAATGTTAACTAACGAACCTTATTGTAAAGTGTTACCATAAAACTTAAATAAAAAGCTTTTACATTTAGCTTTAAAGTGCTATAGTCAGATAAAACAAACAATTATGCTAAATGTGGTTTAAGGAGTAGGCCTACTTCAGCTACCAGGTTGACTGTTGAAATGTGAACTCGACTGGGCACATTGAACTTCCTAAAAATATATACTAATTTCATAGAACCCTTGCGAAAATATTTTAAATAGATTTTAAAAAAGCCACCGCTACTGGTAACATCTATGGTTAGATTGATTTGTTTACATCCAGTGAAGTCGTTCATAGGCGCGTAATTTGCGGGTATCTCCAGTTAACTAGCAGAGCATTCATTTAGTTCGCTATTAAATAAGAGACCTGTTGTTTTTGAAATCAAGCTGAGCGCTCGTGTCCGCTGCAATCAGTGTCATGGATACAGTGTTCTCTGTGGCTCACGCAGTCTTCTCTCGGACGCGCGCTTCAATCTATCGCCGTTGTGGAGACTCCGGTGAAATCACAAAATAAAATGCACACACAAACGTGATGAAGATATTCGGTTTTGATGAGAGAGAAGAAAAACTATACGAGTGCGGTTTAGAACCCGTCACCTCTGACACGCTTGGCAAAAGATCT